TTCCTATATGAAGAGAATAATATTATCGACTATCTTCTTCTTCCTAACGGGACGTCGTTTCCCTGTCAGCCTGTTATCGAAGCAGCCCTCCTCCTAATAACCTAAATAGTGTCGACGAGATCGTAAAAGCTCTACTTTGCAGTTACCATTCTATTTCGTCTTTTTCTTGACCGAAGATACCTCAACCATAAGTGTAAATGGTTTTCATCTACAAGATCTATTTATTGTTTGAATTAAACACAATATTTTTTTGCTTGCTTGAATGTCCTCTCTTTTCAGACAACCACCTGCTTGTATTGTTCTTTTCCCATTAGCACGAGATAGGAACAAGAGTTTCTTATGCTTGTTTTAAAGTATTGTTTATATCCCCAGCAGCTGGTTAGTGAGAGCCTGTGCTTCCTTGATTGTCACCCGCAAAGTGTTTTTGAGGTTCAAATGCACAAGAGACCTCGGCGAGTTAAAAAAACAACAACTCTAGATCAAGAGAAAAACATACCTACATAAGGGCACGGGCAGTAGAAATACCCGAGCGGAGGTGGGGGAATGGGAACCTTAAAAGTATAATGTGTATAAATAAATTTTAAAGCGAATCATGTAATTTGGCTCGAGAGGCAAGTGCATTTAAAAGGAAACTTCGACAGTATTAATGATTGTAATGAATAGTGAATATAGGTTTTTTTTACGTTGCTACCATTTCTTTTGGTCTAGACGCAGGTTGCGTTAAAACCGGAACAGCTTTGCCATTGTTTCACACGAAAAGGTCATGTCGTATTCTGTCTTTTCCTCAACTCTGTGGTTTTTCTTTTATGACTTTTCCGTCCACTAATGCGGCTGGACCTGGCGCTCCTCCAAGACCGCCCAGCTGTGTCCACTTCTGTGATACACTTGGGTAGATCTGAGCAGTGCATGCATTACCCCGTTTACCGAATCATTGATTAAAATCTATGCTTCAGCGTAAATGTTCGCTTTTCTTTGATGCCTTTCATATCCCCCCCCCCTCGTTCTCTCTCTCTCTCTCTCTCTCTCTCTCTCTCTCTCTCTCTCTCTCTCTCTCTCTCTCTCTCTCTCTCTCGGTGTCTTTAACTCCCCCCTCCCTTTATCTATCAAATCTATGAAAGTGTGTTTCTCTCCTCCCCCTCTTTATACTGTATACTTAACGTTTTTTTCCCCTCTGTTTTCTAACTCTTTATCTCTCTTCAGTCTCCTTAAATTTCGAAAATGGGGAGAAAATGGAATTCGTTTCCCATATAATCTTTAGTGTTGGTGCAATGCTTCATTGCTCCTGAAATACTGCATCATGAGTAGGCATGCGATCAACGATTCGCCGTGAGGCAAAGGAATCTAGAAAATTTCCTGAGCTCCGAACCTTGTGCCAGTGAGTATTTCAAAATGATTTCTGGCACGTATTGTTTACCTAGCATACATACTGCCATGGCCAGCAATTATTCTGTTACGGGCACTGTGTTTGCATAGTCTTGCGTCAGCGTTTTTCGCATATGACCCAAGGTAAAACGTCGTCCAACATTCTCCGTGCACAAGATTTTGAAATTGCAACTTCACAGTGTCCTCTAGAACAAGAACATGTTGAATGATCCACCCTATATAACCAAACAAAATTCACTTTACAAGTGTGTGTCACGGCGGGGGGGGGGGGGGGGGGGGCTCAGGCGCTCATCAGTTTTTGGGCACATGTTGAGTTAATGGTATCATAATATTAAAGCTTGTTTATTTGTTTTGCATTCAATGAAAAAACAACCCATCTATCTTGAATAGAAGTAGAGACATTTTCGATTGAAGAAGGTGGGGGTCACCTGGTTTCAGAGGGAAATTTATCGCGAAAATTGCCGCCAAAGTTTGGACACTTTCATAGCTTGATTTCACTATGATGTCTCACGTCCACACACAAAACTTTGCCGAGACTTCGCAAAGCAGAGCCAAAATGACCGGTTTACACTTGGAGGTTGGAAATCGTAGGCCAAATTCAACATTGGTCTGAGCAGTGATGTTTTGTTAAGACCCTTCTCCACTGATACATTTTGGTATCACTTGCTATGGTGGCAATTTGGGCCGGAAGGCAGCACATTATAAAAATAAACAAGTTGATAAGAAAGGCATCAAGAACAAATGGTAGAGGCCTAAGTAACTTTGAATATCTGCACAAGACAAATGTTCTAAAAAAGGCGGAAATAATGCTTAGTGACCATAGCCACCCACTGACATAGGAATTTCAACTATCGTCCCGCAGTAAACGAAACATTTCCAGAAAAGCAAGAACAGACATAATATAGAAATTCATTCGTACCAACTGCAGTGAAGTTACTGAACACACAGTGTTACAAATGAAACAGAGAGAGAGAGAGAGAGAGAGAGAGAGAGAGAGAGAGAGAGAGAGAGAGAATGTTTTTACGGAGTGAGAGAATGTTTTACGGAGCGGGTTGTCCCAGCACGAGAGACATGGTATTTACTTGGCCTAATATCTTGTCTTGTTGTGCATTTGTGTGAGTGCACCTTTAAGTCTAACTTTTGTAACGTCTACTGCCATTGTTAACGACCAAGACATATTTCTCCCTGCGAGATGAATAAAGATTGTCATTGTCATTGTCATTGTCACTACAAGCGAGAGATGTGTTTGCGAATTCATGTTCGGAAGTTCATTTTATTATTTAACAAACTTCCGTTTTTCTACGGGGATATACCAATCAGTGCAGTCTGCATTTGCTCCGACTGGTGACCGAAGCAGGTTTCCTTCTCCATTCCAAATTTTGTCAAGTCATAGGGGGTGTAAAACATTTACAATAGATCTGTAACAGGCTACCTTTTTCTTAGGGATACTCATGCACATAGTCTGTATCGTCCCCCACCGACAAACGGGCAGACCGGTGGCATTCTGCAGACGAAAAAGGCAGAGTCGATGAGTTTCAACACTGGTGATGTCCGCTTGACCGTCTTGCACAAACAGCCACAATAAAATAATTGTTGAGTAGTTGCATTGCATTGGCTTGACTCCCCTCTCAACATTAGAATATGCCCAAGAGTCGTGGTCTCTGATTGACCGCCCATCTCTGATAGAGCCAATGCAGTGCGAGTGGAGGTTTACGAAAATTCCCCAGGTACAAACGTTTCTCAGCTAGTCTAGTATCAGTGATCTTGTAAAATTGTTCACTTGACAAAAAATTTATACACCAGTTAACGTTCTCACTGGTTTGTGTTTCTTTAGCCAGTAGAGATTTAGTCATAGCTTTAGGACCAGTAAACCTTTAAGTTTAAGACGGCCCGATTCATAGATGCGTCATCAAAACCAAGGGACATAATATATCTTTATAATGCTCTTTTCGGAATACATTCTTATCTCCCTTGTCTCCACACATGAGCGTTGAATATTAATCCTGAGCGGTAGTGGGGAGGTTTTCAGTTGGTCAAAAATTATCCTCATTAATTAATGTGATTCGGAAACCAGTTATACACAAATAACAGTAACGATAAAGTACTCACAAAATAAACACCGTTCTGTGAGTGTGCACTCCAGGTGCACTGATATATTTAATTGAAATATCGCAACATATTATTATTAAGATAAAAAGTGATGACGAACATCAGTACGACAAAATCAGTCTTTATAATGCATCAACTGAACCAATAAACAATGCCTTACCTTCAGATTTTAAGAAAAATTATAGTAAAGGTTTTACGGCGCTCGCAACTGCATAAGGTCATAGGAGCGCCAAGGGGTGGATGTCAACAGAGAAGTCTTTACAGGAAATCGGGCTTATTCTGCTCACCTCTCTTGCTTCAAAAGCACAAAGTCTGTTTCGACTTTCAAGGCACCCCGGAAAGAGCCGGTCACAAGAGTGTGACAGACATACAAAAGAAGTAGAGGAAAATGATGACAGTAAGGATTAGGAAAGAAAAAGCAGAAGTGCGCTGCTGTAGTTCAGGCACAGTTATGAGCGTGACATTGTTGAATCAGCGCATTTATAATTCTCCGGTGCATAAGAACGAGAAATCCCCCCCCCCTCCTTGGGACTGGCGTAAAGACACTTCAGTCAGTGTACCATCAGAGCCATGAACGTTGACCAGCCTTAAACCCATAATATTTCAGTTTGTCATCTCGGCTAGACAGAAGTGCACACACGCGCACCAACGTACTCGCCAACGCACTTACGTAAATCGCAAATTATACCTCAAGACCTACACATAGTTGCATATTATATTATATCAGTTATAACATTATGCATTCTGATCAAACACATACAGTATAATAGGGTATGTACATGATTTACGTTGTACATAATTTGTATGTCTACACTTTCTCACTTCATCCCCATCCTCCCTCTTTCTACCCCCCCCCTCTCATTCTCTCTCTCTCTCTCTTTCTCTCTCTTTCTCTCTCGCTCCCCCTCTTTCTCTTTCTTTCTCACTGTATCTCTTGGTCTCTCTCCCCCTCTTTCTCACTTCTCTCTCTCGCTCTCTCGTTCTCTCTCGCTCTCTCTCTCTCTCTCTTTCTCTCTCTCTCGCTCTCTTTCTCTCTATCTCATGTTTGTTTTTCTCAAAACGTTATCTGTTTATAGACGACAGCAATAGATGGGTAAAGGGGGAAGATGACAGTTACATAAACAGGAAGAATGCAGAAAAGCAAGAGGAATAAAGTTGATGAAACGGAATCTTGGACTTGGAGAGAGACAGAGGAGGGGGATTAGGAAGAGGTTTTTGAGAAGCAAAAAGGACAGCATGCGAAGATGACACTGAATTATAATGAAAGTCAAGGGAGAGCGAGAGAGAGAGAGAGAAAGAGAGAGATAGAGAGAGGAGGGGAGGGAGAGAGAGGACACTATTGATTTAAAGGCCTTTGACCCATACATCCACACATTGTTACATAATAGATAGATAAATAGATAGATGGATAGAGAGAGAGAGAGAGAGAGAGAGAGAGAGAGAGAGAGAGAGAGAGAGAGAGAGAGAGAGAGAGAGAGAGAGAGGGGGGGGATGAGAGAATTAGAGAGAGTGAGAGAGAGACCTTTGTAAGTAACGGATATACATTTTTTTCAGATAAATACAAAATTGTCCAAATATATTGATACTGACCAGAGTCTTATTCTACTTTTCAACGACTTCCATTTTCTTCAGAGCATCAACACAGTATTCGGCGATGGCCTCAGCGACCTTGGGATATTTCAACTTCATAGACGGGTTTGCATTTGCTTCTATGAAAAGTCTCTCTCCACTTGCATCCTCCAGGAAATCAAGCCCCGCAATGTCCAAACCCAACAGCTCTGTTATCTGTAGGGCTCTTGTCTTTAGATCCTGGTCTCCTTCTATAATTTCCATCGTACCTTAAAGGGGATTAGAATAAAGAGCTTGAATTATGTATAGCACGTCGTTAAATTTTTCTAATGTTTACTGGAGTGCTTTTTAACGTTTTAAGTAAAAGTTTTACAGCACTTGCAACACAATAAGGACACAATATACGTACCGCAGATTAGAGGTGTTACAAAAGAGTAGCAAACACAAAAAGGAAGGAGGAGAGATCAGGACGACAGGAGTTTGGTAGTAAAGAAGGAGCAAACCATACCAGAGCACCCGCTAACCACCCTGTATAAGTGCTCCTGTGTGTGTGGGGGGGGGGGGGGTGTAGGAGACGAAGAAAAATCATATAAGCACAGTTATGACGGCTATGTGTTACCGATAATAAACGCTGTGGCGGAGAAAAAAAGAAAAGGACACCCTCTTATAAGGAGCCTATGAATATTATTTCATAATGGAAATTCAAAACTTAAAAAAAAAAATTCAATATTGTTTTCTTACCAAGATAATTTTGTTAGATGTAGTGTATGGCGACTTAACACCGAATCAGAACGGATAAGGATAGGAACGACTTTAGTAAAAGTTGAGAGATCAGACCACATCAGAGTTTAGGCAATTAATGCGACATTTCTGAAAATTTGCAATACATAAAGGCTAACCTGTGTATAACAAACACGGGATGTCAGCTCATGTAGAGCATAAACTCTTCCACACATAAGCTGTATGGAGTTTAATCTAAATACTCTCACTCATTATCTATGGAGAGTGAACTGTCTCACTCATTATTTAGGTTTAGTAAATTCCCTCAAACGTTATTAGTTTTTGGCATATATCCTCTCTGTCATTACTAAATAAGGCATTGTAAATTCTCTCACTAATTATCGATTATGTATACTAAATTCCCTCACTTTCCACTAATTAATCACTTACGAAGAGAAAATTCTCTCCCTCATTATTTATGAAAAATAAATTGTCTCACCCATTATTAATGAAAAAGAAATTCTCTCACTCATTATCTATGAAATTCTATCACCAACTATTTATGTGGCTTTTAATCAGCGTAAACCCTCTCGTGCATTATACAATTATTTGGAAAATGTGAGTACTTTCACAGCGCCACACGTCGGTGGCTTGGTGGTTAGGCTACCGGACTCGTAATCGTGAGATTGCAGGTTCAGCGGTTCGAGCCTCAGCTCGATCCGACGTTGTGTCATTGGAAAAGACACTTTACACGAATTTCCCACATGGCTCGGTCTTTTCGGAGATGGACGTTAAAAACTTGGAGGTCCCGCTCCTTGAATAAATTTATTATTGCATCGCCACCAGCCCACTCG